GCAGAGAACGGCGGGAGGTCGCTCCTCCCTCCTCGGGGCCTCTCGGGGGCCCACAGCCGGCCCCTCCGCCTTTCTCGAGGCTCTCCCTGCCCGAAGGCGCGCCCCGAGAGCAGAAAGGCCCGGGGGAAGCGGCTCTGAGGAGAGGACCCATCGACGACACGAGTGGCCCTGCCCCGAGATCCTGGCGTGGCAATTCTTTCACAGCGGGCGTGCTCGCCCAGTCTCGGGCCCCAGGACCCCCACAGATCGGTGCAGCTCGAACATTGCCGCAGAAAGATGGGGGCCGGGGGCTCCGGTGGTGATTTTTTGGCGATGTCGCAGTTTGTGGCAGCGCCGGATCACAGGGTGGGTACTCCAGATTTCGTGATAAAAGGGAGGGGGTCACAACCCTCCCAGACGAGAAGTTTTAGGCCCCCCCAGACCATCCATGAAAGGGCGGCCATTTGTCCAGACCCCCCCAAATCCTCCAAGACAGCTCAAATCAGACCCCCCCCCAAAATGTGCACCCCCCCCCCCACTTTATCATGGAATCTGGAGTAAGGATGACCATTGGTGCGCGCCTTTTTGAGGGCCGCAGGGGAACAAGCACAAACGCGCGAGACGCCAGTATTGCATCGCGCTCGGCGATCGGGTGACCCCAATGAGCCCGCACCAAGTGTCACTCTGGCGAAGGGTCGCTCTCACGTGCAGTCGAACCCAGGGAGCCTCGCGTCGTGAAAGGAAGAGTCTGGGCTACAGTCCTCGTGCCAACATAGGGAACGCGTCATGAGGAACGAACGGGCTTTTCTGGCCACGGCGGGCCTAGGCCACAGACAGGTTCCACGACGTGACCGCAAGGAACGACCCGAAAACCCAAGCCCCTCCTGAGCCCAGAGCGGTCTTTGTGTCAGCGTCTTGACTGTATTTGGGGCCCCTGGGATCCGACACACAAAAGACTGCTCGGCGTCGAGCACTTGGCCCAGAGAAGAAGTCCAGACCTCTGTGAAACAAGCACGACGCCCAGGATCACAAGGAATCACGGGAAAAAACGGCGACAGAAACATAACAACTCGGAGGTTCGCACGGATCTCTCGGATCCACGCGGACCTACGAGTTCGCATGTGTATGTCAATGTTCAATGCTTGTTTCCTACACCAAGAAAGAAGATCTTGGATCGGAGCTGTTGGTTCTTCTTCACCGAGTGGGGCGACGGCCACGAAAATGGAGAGGAGGAGGAGGAGGAGAAGGTGGAGGAAGGAGAAAGAGGAAGAGGAGGAGGAGGAGGAGGAGGAGGAGGAGGAGGAGCAAGAGGAGCAGGAGGATTAGGAAAAACAGCATAGTCGGTAGTGGCACCAGGAGCTGCCAGAGGGTGGAGAAGCATGAGGGACGGAGGAGGAGCAGCAGCAACAACAGCAGGAGGAGCAGGAGGCCACTGGAGGCCCAGAAAGAGCGGATCCCCCCTAACAAAAAAATCCTCGCGCACATTGACGCTCGATTTTCGATCTCCGACCGACGACAAAGACGTCGACGTTGACGTTGACGCGGGCGTCGACGTCGGCGACGACCACGAAGACCAAGACCACAACGACGACGACGACGACGAAAACAAAAACGATGACAACGAGCCGGGGCTGAAGCGATCGCGGAGGTCTGCGCTGAATGGACCCCAGGAAAATCGGTAGGGGGGGGGGGGGGGGGCAGGCAACCCCGCTCAGAATCTGTCCCCGGGCCCTGCGCGGGGTCGAACTGGACAAGCTTCCCGGGCCACATCCGGCCGCGGCGACGACGGGGCCCCCCTTGTCCCCGCTCTTCTGCGGGCCGGGATCACTGGAGGCTCGGGGGCACGGCACCAGCACCAGCACAGAAAACGGCCTCCACCACAGGGGGGAACTGATCACACACGTCGGCGTCGGCGGTCAGATATTCGGTCACTCAGGACACCCGACTCCTAGCACCATCGCCAAGTTCTTGATCAAGTTCCCTCGGAGGCGCATCGCTAATATCGGTGTCAATAAAAAACCTCGACCGACCGACCGACCCGACCCGACATTCCTGTAGGCCTCTATAGGCCTTCCACGACACGTTCCTGGAACAAAAGAGTCTCAACACACATGACCCAGCGACACACCCAACCCAGCTGCATCAAGTGACAAGACGAGTAGGGCCAAATTTGCATGGGCAACAACAGCGCAGGCGCCGCCATGTGTTGCGCAGGCTACATGGAGCACGCGCACGTCGCACGACTCAAGACAGCGACAGAAGAACGAGGAGTGATGCCCCAGGCTCGAAGAAGAAATGCGGGGCAAGGACGAAGGCAAGGATGCGGACGGAACAGGGGCCGACAAGCCAGTGCGGCAGCAACCGAAGGAAGGGGGACGAGGACGACGACGAAACAGGCGGGATGACAAAGGCAGGCGACGCTATTTTTCACAGTTGCACACTGCACAAGCAGCACTGCACGAGCCATGTCGAGTTGACGCTCCACAAAGCAGCTGTTCATAGCGAGTGCAAGAGGCGAGCGAAGCCTAGCTCGCCCGCCAGCTTCTCCGCTTCCTCCCCGCACCTCTCAGTGCGGGGGATCCATGCCCGCAGGCGCGCCGCCAGGTCTGCGCGCGACCCGCGGGGAAGGAACTCAAGGCCAGAATCGCGTATCATCAACACTTTGTCCACCACATCGCCCTAGAGAGCACCGCGTAGAGATGCAGCCAGAGGGCGTCCAGGTCCGTCGGTGACTCGGTGGTGCATGGCCCAGCCCTGGCAGGCGGTGGGCGTCACGACCTCGGCGTCAGGCCAGTGCGGACGGCCCCTCGAAAGTGGCGACAGTTTCGCAGCTCGCAGCCCCCCAGAATGGCGAGTATTAATTTGAAGCCGCGTAAGACGACACACTCCGCTGGACCTCCCGGCGGCCCGCGATGGCGAGGTCGCACTTGAATCCGCGTAAGACGTCACTCTGCAACCCTCGAACGTGGCCAAGAACTCGTTGTCCGCAGCCCCCCAAGCATGGCGAGGACGAATTTGAATCCGCCTGAGACGTCACTCCGCTGGACCCCCCAGCAGCCCTCGAAAAAGGCGACAAATCCGCTGTTCGCAGCCCCCAGGGATGGCGAGGTCTCATTTGAATCCGCGTGAGACGACACTCCATTGGAGCCCCCGGCAGCTCTCCAAAGTGGCGACCGCTTCGAAATTCGCAGCCCCCCAGGGATGGCGATGTCTAATGTGAATCCGCGTGAGACATCACTCCGCTGGACCCCCCAGCAGCCCTCGAAATTGGCGACTGTTTCGCAGTTCGCAGCCCTCCAGGGATGGCGAGGCTAAATTGGGTCATCGGAAGACGTCACTCCGCTGGACCTCCCGGCGGCCCTCGAAAAAGCGGACTGCTTCGCAGTTCGCAGCCCCCAAGGATGGCGAGGTCTACTTTGAATCCGCGTTAGACGTCACTCCGCTGGACAACCCAGCAGGCCTCGAAAGTGGCAACAGTTTCTCAGTTCGCAGCCCCCCAGGGATGGCGAGGCCAAATGTGGGCCTTCGGAAGACATCACTCCGCTGGACTCCCCAGCAGCCCTCGAAAGTGGCGACTGTTTCGCAGTCCGCAGCTGTCCAGGGATGGCGAGGCTAAATTGGGTCATCGGAAGACGTCACTCCGCTTGACCTCCCGGCGGCCCTCGAAAAAGCGGACTGCTTCTTAGTTCGCAACCCCCCAAGGATGGCGAGGACGAATTTGAATCCGCCTGAGACGTCACTCCGCTGGACACCCCAGCAGCCCTCGAAAAAGGCGACAAATCCGCTGTTCGCAGCACCCAGGGATGGCGAGGTTTCATTTGAATCCGCGTGAGACGACACTCCGCTGGACCCCCCAGCAGCCCTCGAAAGTGGCGACAGTTTCGCACTTCGCAGCCCCCAGGGATGGCGAGGTCAAATTTGGGCCTTCGGAAGACGTCACTCTGCTGGACCTCCCAGCAGCCCTCGAAAGTGGCGACAAATTTGCTGTTCGCAGCCCCCCATGGGTGGCTAGGTCGAACTCGAATATCTAAAAGACGCTTCCCAGTTGGACCCCCAACAGCCCTCGGGAGTGGCTGCAGCTCCCAGCCCCCCACAGGATAGCGAAGTCTCACTTGAATCCGCGTGAGACGACACTCCGCTGGACCCCCCAGCAGCCCTCGAAAGTGGCGACAGTTTCGCACTTCGCAGCCCCCAGGGATGGCGAGGTCAAATTTGGGCCTTCGGAAGACGTCACTCTGCTGGACCTCCCAGCAGCCCTCGAAAGTGGCGACAAATTTGCTGTTCGCAGCCCCCCATGGGTGGCTAGGTCGAACTCGAATATCTAAAAGACGCTTCCCAGTTGGACCCCCAACAGCCCTCGGGAGTGGCTGCAGCTCCCAGCCCCCCACAGGATAGCGAAGTCTCACTTGAATCCGCGTGAGACGACACTCCGCTGGACCCCCCAGCAGCCCTCGAAAGTGGCAACCGTTCCGCAGTTTAGAAGACAAGAATGTCCCAAGAAAAAGCCATGTTCTTCCAATATATAACCGATGTGTTAAAACAAGACGGCCTCAGCCAGAAATGCTCGGAGAACCGTTGGTGCAAACTATACATGAAAAAAAAGGTCCTTAGATCCTCCTCTGGTGGGCCTCTATAGGCAGGTCAGGATGCTTCGCCACAGCTAAAACTCCAGGCCTCTAAGACCAGTGCTGGGCCACCTCAGCCCCCCAGCCAGCTCCAAGGCTTGGCGGCGGGCAAAAGGGAGTAGGGGTAAAGGGAAGGCTCCTCCGAAGGAGGCCACTTCTTAGAAGGCAGCAGCCCTACTTCTGTACACAAGGCCGATCCCTCTAAGACGAGGAGAACACTTATCGCGTGGGGGGGGGGAAGGGCTGGAAGAATGAAGAGTAGGAGCAGCAGCACTCGGATGCAATACACGATACCTTCGACCGCCTACGGGTAACGATATCCCCATCTCTCCCAACCCCATCCTCCCAACCCGATTACCCATCGGTCGAAAGAAGTAGGTAGAAACATGAAGTAGGAAGGCGTTGGAGGCAGGTTGGGTTCCGCCCGCCCCCTAAGGAGGAGGGAAGAGGGAAACCCACTCGACTCTTGCAGTAGGAAGGCGGCTCAAGCAGATTGGAACCTGGCATCCCTCCAAGTACCTGCTTGCAACGATTTGGACGCCCGAAGTGGGCATGGAAACAGTGGGCACAATGCCCAACAGCAAGTGTCGTCCCGAACCAACAGCGGCCGCTGTTTGGCAGGCGGCCTCCTGTCTTCAAGGAAAACACACTCCGCGGCGACGCCGACAGCGAATCCCGTTCCGAATGAACCAGAACTGTACCCCATTCTTTCGGTCTCTGCACCCCTTCTCTCCGTACCCCTGTCGGTCGTCCCGAAACGACCGCTGCCCCCCCTCCTGCGAGCGGCCGAACCTCGCCCCCCCCCCCCCCCCGCGAGCTCCAGGACGGGAGCCCCCGGGGGGCCCCCGCGGCGCCTCGGCAGCGGGTTGCGCAGCCCCAGGAAGCCGCCCCGCGCCGAGCGGCCCGCCCACCCGTAGGGCCCTTCCCCGGGGCTGCCGCCCAGCCAGTGGGCGTCCACCAGCGACGGCGCCTGCGACCCGGCCTCGGAGGGGGGGCGGCCCGCCGACCCCGGAGAGGGAGCCACCTGCGAACCCTGCCCCTACCCCTACCCCCCCCCCGAGTTCGGAGGGGGAGGGTGGGGTTCACGTCGTTCGGGAGCTCCTGAGCGAAGTGAGAACCCCACCCTCCCCCCTCAGAAATCGGGGAGGGCAGGGGCAGGGTTCGCACTCGGTCCCCTACCAGGCCCCCCTCGCGTCGTGGCCGGCCCACGGCGCGAGGCCCTTGCGTTCCCCAAGCGGTGCTTGCACTGAAAGGGGGTCCTCGCGGCGGTGCGAACGACTTGGCGACAGCGTCCCGCCGAGGTTGGTCGCACGCCGGGCTCCCGGGTTCCCGGGCTCCGGGTTCCCGGGTGCGCCCGTCTCCGAATTCTGGGCCGATTTCGGAGGGCGGAGAGGTTCCCGGGTTCCCGGGTTCCTGGGTTCCTGGTCGATCTTCTGATCGATCGGTCTCACCATCGATCTCATTACCCACTTCTCTATCGATCTCACCATCGATCTCACAATCGATCTCACTATCCATCTCACAAGCGATCTCACTAGAGATCGCATGAGCGATCTCGCGATCGATCTCACGATCGATCTCATTGAATCGATTCCACTCTCGGTCTCACGACCGACATTACAATCGTCCTCACTGTCGATTCCACTATCGATCTCATTATCGATCTAAAGACCATAGTATCAATTTCCAAATCATCCACTGATTGGGTTTTCTCAGGTGTAATACAGTCGGGCCGCTGAAAGACGGAACGCTAAATAAGGAACGAAGCCACTTCCTGGCCCTGTAAGCGCCTCCATGCCCCAGGAGGGCAAGAGGAACAGCACTGGAGGAACCTAAGGAACATCGAGCCCTTTCCGAACCCAAACTGTTCCTGATTTCAGCGTCTTGTTTGTACTATTTTCGGCCTCTGTGGGCCCTTACCGGCTCTCGGGGCCGTCAACAAAAAACGACTCAGGATGAAAAACCTGTCCAGGGGAGTGGGTGGAGACCTCCAGGGGTCGACGATATGAAAAATCATGACGTCGGGGGTCTGGGAAGTACGGCCCACCGAACGAGGCTCATCCTCGCGAGCGACGCTTGGAGCTGTAAAACCTCGGATCGGAAAGGGACTGCACTCCAGGCGTTTTCTTGGACGAGAGTCCAGGTCCAGATGTACGGAAGTTATGCGGCGAAGGGGGACTCAGGGGAAACACCCAGGGTCCAGTCCAGACTCTTAGTTTTCCAAAGGAGTCCATGAAAGCTGATGCTTTCTCTTGGCATCTATATCTGAGGACAGTGCAGCCCACCCCCTGCTTTAGTTGGTTGATTAATGTGTCCATATCTCAGGACAGTAGAGCCCCCCCCACCCACAGCCAGGACCCCCCCTCCCGACCTGGTGATCCAGAGGGGTCCTGGCTGGGGGTGGGGGCAGTTTTTTGGCCCCCAGGAGCCCCCAAGAAACACTCCCACCCACAGTCAGGACCCCCCTGGATCACCGGGTCGGGCGTGGAGGTCCTGGCTTTGGGCGCGGGGGTGGGTCATGCGGTGCTCAATATCCACGCCCTCGCCGTCTGGACGGCGGGGCGCGGTTCCGGAGGCCCTACTCTAAGTTGATCCATCCCGGTGGCGCGTGGCGCCCCGAAGATCGATCGAGGGCTGCTATGGGCCGCCCGGATGACCGATCGATCGATGGGTCGGCTGCTTTTCCTGATCAGGCACCCGAACACAACCACAGAACAAGATGCTGCTGCTGCTGCTGATGCTGATGCTGATGATGATGCTGATGCTGATGCTGATGCTGATGCTGATGATGATGATGATGATGATGATGATGATGATGATGATGATGATGAGATGATGATGATGATGATGATGATGATGATGATGATGATGATGATGATGATGATGATGATGATGATGATGATGATGATGATGATGATGATGATGATGATGATGATGATGGTGATGGTGATGGTGATGGTGATGGTGATGGTGATGGTGATGGTGATGATGCTGATGCTGATGCTGATGCTGATGCTGATGCTGATGCTGATGCTGATGCTGATGCTGATGCTGATGCTGATGATCGAAGGGTCGGCTGCCTTTTCCTGCGCAGGCACCCGAACACCGCCACCAGCCCACCCCTGGCCCGGGCCCCTAGCCAGAGCCCCGCACGGTGTCCACCCCGTGGCCACCCCGGCCACCCCGTGGCCACCCCGCGTGGCCGCCCCGGCCAGGAAGGAGCACCCCCGTCCTGGCGCCCTGGAGCCTGCGGTGGGCAACGCCATGGGAGCCTCCCACAGGCCCCGGCGCCCGCCAACGTGCTGCTTCGAGCCGCGGCCCCAGACCCCCCGACCTCCTCGATCCTCGACCCTCCTCGGTCCTCCTACTCGATCCTCCTCGATCCTCGATCCTCCTCCTTCTCGATCCTCCTGCCGGCTCTTGCGAATCAATGCTAGTCGACGCTACATCGACGCGAATCGATGCTAGATCGACGCTGAATCGACACTGACCGACGCTAGATCGGCGCTACCTCATCGGCTCCTAGACGCCAACCGACCCTGCTCGACGCTAGAGACGGGATTCAAATACCAGGCCCCCAAGATGTGCGACCGAAGGAGCCCAGGATGGGCCTGGCCAGCCTGCTTTTCTCAGACAGAGGCCCACAGAAGTCCTGGCCCCTGCGCAAGGGCCGGTCTTTCAGCGCGGGTCGTCTGTTGACGGCCCCGGGGCCCAGCGAGGGCCCCCAGGAGGCCGAACACGGCCCAGAAACCTCCCGCCGGGATTTTCTCCACGACGCGAGCAAGCCTGGGCTGTCGGGCCAGAAGTCGGCTCTCTGGCGGCTGTTCGGGACGGTCCCCGGAACGCCCTCGGCGAGGCGCAGCAGCCAGCACGCACCCTCGAGGCTGGAAAATCACCGAGAACCAGCGAAAACACCCGAAGACCTCGAACCTCGGAACTCGATGACCTCGCCCCCTCTTGTTTTGTGGATGTCACGACAATGGACACCCTGACAACCCGATCATTGACTTTAAAATGTGTTTAAGATGTCGGAACCATGTTCTAAACATGGTTGAAACATGTTTTTTACATGTTAAGAAGTCGTTTACATGATTGAAACACCTGGAAATTATTTGGCAACATGCTTCCTCTCCATTCATCGTCCTCCACAACTCTTGTTCCACGACGCGAGCACGTCTGTGTGTACAGGCACCCCCTGCAGAGGAGCGGAGGCCCGATCGCTCCCCGACCGGCGAGCCCGCGCCCGCCCCCAGGGGCCCAGCCCAGGCCGCGGCGGCGACCAGGTCGTCCCAGTGGCGCGGCTGTAGCAGCGAGGCCGTGAGGTAGAGCTCCTGCAGCATCGTGCCGAACGCGAAGGCGCTCCGCACCTCCGAGAGGGGGGCCCCGAGGTCCTGGCGCCTCGCTGCTCGTCTCGAGCCCGGCGTCGTTGCGTCCGGCTTCGGGCCCTGGGGCCCTCACAGATCGACCCAGCTCGAAACATGGCGCGGGGACCCTGGCGCCTCGATCTGCTCGAGCCAGGCATGTTCGTCCAGTTCAGGGCCCTGGGACCCTCACAGATCGATCCAGCTCGAAACGTGGCGCAGAGAGAGTGGGTCTAAGGCTTGAGCCGAGAAGCAGTTACAGCCGCACATCTGTTTGTTTTTGTCCACAAACTGGCACGAGGACAAGTTCGATGACCCAATCGTGGAGACAGTACGCTGCTTCAAACGCCGTACAAATAAAGCGTCCAGCAGATGCAGCCGAAAATGCGATGCAGGAAATCACCATTCCGAGTGGCCGCGGAGCTTGCAAAGGAGTCCCCGAAGAGGCCCCCCCAGCAGAGCCCAACAGGCCCCAAAGGGATCTCCAAGAACGGCTCCAGAGCGACAGCGCCGTCGTCGCCGCCACAGCCGCCGTCGCCCCCCATTCAGGGTCGGCGGCGGCACTGGCCGCAAGGCCTTCCCGATATGATCCAGAAACCTATCATTTCAGAAATCTGGGCCAGCTTCCCGGAAGTGTCTCGGATAAAGCCTGTGCAAATGTCTGCGGCTGACGCTGGAGGGGCAAGCGTGCTCCAGAGACCCGGCCAGCGTTCCGGCAAGCTGGTCAGGAAAGGCCAGCCCAGCACACATCGGCACGAGGTTTCTTCATCAGATGCTCGACTGCACAGGAGGCACCTACGATAAGAGATCCTATCATGAGCAATCGTGGGGCACGCTGCGCGTCGGGGCCATCGAAACGGGGGGAAAACCTCCGTGGAGCACCTGCCGCCAGGCCGATGCCGTGCTTGATGCGCCCGGCACCGCTGTCCCTAAGCTCCACACTCTGGATGGCATGATAATCGGGGTCGGGGGCGACTACAACCTTCCCCCCCCGTCGCCCCTCAACGCGCGTCCAAAAGTTGAGCTTCAGAACTGCCCGACGGCGCGCGCCATTCCCCCCCCGAACCCAAGGGAGGGGCGATGATTCTGCAGTCTGGAGCAGCGCCACGACAGCAACGCGACGAAAGGTGACCAGGTGGCAGGCTACTTCCAGCCTCCCTAGACCCCCGACGTCATGATTTTTCATCTAGCGTCGGTCCCTGGAGTTCTCGACCCGTTCCCCTGGACAGGTTTTCAATCCTCAATCGTTGTTCGACGCTCCCGAGGGCTGGCGAGGGCCCCCAGAGGCCGAAAAGAACAAAATCAAAAAAAACGCCCGCCGTGATGTTTTCATTACCCGAAGGGGTCTGGGCCTGGGCGGCTGCCACACAGAGGGGGCCACGGGGCTGTCCCGACACTGCCTCGGGGGATGACGGGCGGCGCCCCGGGAAGGCGCCGCAGACCGCTGGGGGCCCCAGGCCCTCCGCGGGACCCAGACAGCGGCACCGTTACCTTTTTTTAAGTCGGGCTTCTCCCTCTGCAGGAGGAAGGTTCCATAGTAGTTCAAGAACAGTCACGGGGCGATGCTTCGACGAGTTACGCGTGGCTATGTTTGAACAAGTTTTGACTACCTGTTCATGCTGTCTTCCAGAATCCGCTTGCAGGCGGACACGCCAGACCTGACGCTACCCTCGGGGCAGACGACGAGGAGGGGGAGCAGCAAACGTGCCAGCGAGCCGGCCGCCCGCAGCTGCTTTCCCCGCGCCTCCTGGCGCTGCAGGAGCTGAGCCCACAGATGCCGTCATCTCTGGGGTGCGCATCTTCAACTTCCGCCGCACTCCGCCGGCAGGCCTCCCGGAGGCAGACTTTCATCCATATCCAGCGCGCCTCGGGTGGCTGGGGAAGGGCGCCCGAGACCCCAAGCTGCAGTGGATGTGGACACGAGTCTTGCCCGCGGGAAGGAAATCGGCACCTGTGACCCTCAGTCCCCCCTCCTGCCGACCCAGATCCGCTCAGACGGGCTCCCGGGCCCCCCCTGGGGATCACCCCGGCATCCCCTGCATCCCAGATCAATGTCTGACGACCCCAGAGTCCGAAGCGTCTCCTCGAAGCTCCTTGCCAACGTCGGTAGGTCTCTATAGCCTTCCTTCCCAGACCCCCGACGTCGTGTTTTTTTTGTTTCATGACATGACCCCAGAAGTCTGGACCTCTTCCCGGGGACCGGCTTTTCATCCTGAGTCGTTATCTGGACGGTCCCGAGGCTTATGTTGGGCCCATCGTACTTAAGGACCACATCCCAGAAATAATTTCGAGCACGCGGAACAGTGTCGAATGAGTGTCGAAACAGTGTCGAAACAATGTCTCCCAGGACCCAACACGTGAAAACCCTCGAGTTTCGGTGCTTTTTTTTCTGGTGCTCGAAATTCTTTCTGGTGATCAAGGCTAAAGTTGGTTGGAACATCATAACCCGAGGCCCGGGAAGGGCCCCAGGAGGCCAGAGACAGCACAAAAACCTCCCAAGGTGATTTTTTCACAGCGCGAGTGGGTCTGGGTTTCCCAGACATCCGGCTGCTCCAATCTCTTCGACGCGTGGGCCCCAGAGGTCCGGACCACTCTTTCGTCCCGAGTCATTCCTTGACGCTCCCGAAGCCTGGCGAGGGCCCCTTGGAGGCCGAAAACGGCGAACGTTCCGCCGCTCCAATTTTTGTTGGGGGGGAGCGTCGGATCTCTGGAGTTTCTCGGCGGCAGACAGGTCTTCGCGGAGCTGACCCCGAAGCACCCTCTGCACCGAGAGAGGCCCTGGGCAGGGCAGCCACGGCGCACCGATGAGCAGCGAGGATAAAAAAGGGCGAGGCGGTGCGAGGCGAGCGCCGATGCCACGCAGGGCATGCGCCCAGAGCGCCTCCCCAAACCTCTCTGCGCTGTGGAAAAATCACGACGGGAAATCGTCTTCGCTATTTGTTCGGCCTCTTGGGGCCCTCACCGGCCCTCGGGACCGTCAAAAAACGGCTCAGGATGAAAAACCGTCTTATCATTATTATGCTTATTTTTATTATTTTTAGTTTTAGTACTCTTCTTCTTATTATTATTATTACTACTATTATTGTTATTATTGTTATTATTGTTATTATTGTTATTGTTATTGATTTTCGTCTGCTTCAGCTTCTTCTTCTGCTTCTTCTTCTTCTTCTTCTTCTTCTCGGTCCAGGGGTATGGTTCGAGACCTCCAGGGGTCGACGCAGTGAAGAAATCATGACGTCGGGGGGGTCTGGGGCCGCAGCCCCGCGGAAGACGTCGGTCCAGCCCCTTCCAGTTCTGTGTGGGCGTCGCGCTGGAGGAGCGGATTTTGGCACTCGCGGCCACAGCAAGCGTCATGAGGGGGGAGGGGAAACAACGTAGCGGAGGAGGAAGGAGGAAGAGGAGGGGGGGTATCATCCCTCCTCCTCCTCCTCCTCCTCCTCCTCCTCCTCCTTCTCCTCATCCCTCCTTCCGTCCACAACAAGCGTTATGAGGGGGGGTGGACGGGAGGGGGCACAACGTGGCGCCCCGCCCCCCCCCCCCCCCCTGTGCCAGACGCACTGCGGCAGTGCCAGGGACGCACTGAGGGGGGAGCGTTACGCTACAGTCGGATGTTGCTAGAAGTGCCCCTGGCCGAAGGTAACCCCCAGGATTCTCGGGGTAGCGCAATCGGCCTCCAGGGCACCCCTCACGAGACCAGAGGGCCCCAGGGTCTCCACAATGGATCGAAAAGCGGGGGGGCACCTTGGACCAGGGGCACTTCTAGCAACACCCGATAGAGGGGCGGGGAGGGGTGGGGGAGGGGCATAACGCGCGTTATGGCCCAGAGGGTTTAAACGCACTCTCCAAGTGGGCAGAGCCGTGCATCCCAATGTTAAGCTTCTCTTCACGTCCTCTTGTCCGGGCTGCCATTGACAACACTGACCTGCGATGCCTCGAGTCTTCCCATGCCGGGCCCCCGAAGTCCCGGCCCTCTCCCCAAGACCGACTGTACATCCCCAGCCGTTGTTCGACCAACGAGAACACCCGAAGACCTCGAACCTCGGACCTCGATGACCTCGCCCCTCGTCCTCCTCCTCGTCCTCCTCCTCCTCCTCCTCCGGCCCTTTCCCCAAGACCGACTGTACATCCCCAGCCGTCGTTCGACGGTCCCAGGGCCCGGCGAGGGCCCTGGAAGGCCGAACATGGGCAAAAACCTCCCGTCGTGAATTTTTCAACGACGCGAGCAAGTCTTAGGGGGCCACATGCGTACCCCCTACCCCTACCCCCCACGATTTCTGAGAGGGAGGGTGGGGTTCACTTCGTTTGGGAGCTCCTGAGCGAAGTGAACCCCACCCTCCCCCTCAGAAATCGTGGGGGGTAGGGGTAGGGTTCGCATGTGGCCCCCTAAGTCTGGGTTTTCGGGCCATGACTCGGCTCCCTGGCGCCGTCGGGACGTCCGGGCACCCCTGGAACGCCCTCGGCGAGGCGCAGCTGCCAGAACGCACCCCGAGGCTGGCCGTCGCCGAGGACGAACGAGAACACTCGAAGACCTCGAACCTCGACCTCGATGACCTCGCCTCGGCGTCCGCCTCCCTGGGCCCTCCTCCTCCTCCTCCTCCTCCTCCTCCTCCTCCTCCTCCTCCTCCTCCCTCCTCCCTCCTCCGCCTTCTCCTCCTCCCCTTTTTTAACGACGCGAGCATGTGTGGGAATGTGTTCGTCACCCATGGGCGGGAGAAGGAGAAAGAGACATCAGGCCTCGTTCCGGAACGTCTGCCCAGTGGGGTCCACAGGCTCGTCCCGCACGTTGAGGTCCCATGCCGTCCTCGCCCGCACGACCCCGTGCGACATCACCGCCGAGAGGGGGAAGAGCCCCCCGGAGACCGCGACGACGTTCTCGTACGTCATGAGGTCCCTGTAGGTGATCCACCTTTCGGCGGCGAGCCGGGGGGAAGCGAGAAGGGGCGGGCCTCCTCAGAAGGCTCGGAAGTCCCCTGGACTTCTGAAAAGCTCTCGAAGCCTTCCCCCGAATACACGAAAAATACGCTCAGGCCTTCTGAGAACCCCCGCCGCCTTCTGAGAAGGTCATCTCCTTCTCACCTCCGCCCTAGCTCGCCGCCGAACCTTGGCACGAGATGAGTTTATGGTGTTCCCGGTAGCGGTCTTTATACTGGGGAAGGAGCGGGTGACGGTAACGCTTGGGCGGTGTGGGGCACATCGGGGCGGGGTTGCGCGGCGTTCGCCCCAGTACGCGCGCGAGCACCGACATGTGAGGGGGGTCCAGCCCCCCCCCCCCACCCTACGTACGATCGTTACCGTTCCCTGGTGTGGTTGGCCCGGGTAGCGACAGTTACGTGCCAGAGGATAAAAATTACTCACTGCGTGGGGATCCCCATATGTGCATCTCCTTGCTGGCGCTCCCTTGGTGGTGGGACTCGGTGAGGACGAATCTGGATTTAAGTGTGACTGAGCTGCCTCTCTCTCTGCTCTCTCTGCTCTCTCTGTCTCTCTCTCTCTCTCTGCCCTCTCTCTGTCTCTGCCTCTCTTTCCCTGCCTCTTTCTCTCTCTCCGCCTCTCTCTCTGCCTCTGTCTCTCTGCCTCTCTCTCTCTCTGCCTCTCTCTCTGTGCCTCTCTCTCTCTGCCTCTATCTCTGCCTCTCTCTCTCTCTCTCTCCTCTCTCTCTTCTCTCTATTATCTCTCTGCTCTCTCATCTCTCTCTCACTCTCCCTCTCTCTCTCTCTCGCTCTCTCTCTTCTCTTCTCTTCTCTTCTCTCCTCTCTCTCTCTCTCTATCTCTCTCTCTTTCTCTCTCTATCTCTCTCTCTCTCTTCTCTCTCTCTCTCTCTTTCGCTCTCTCGCTCTCTGTCGCTCTCTCTCGCTCTCTGTCGCTCTCTCTCGCTCTTTCTCTCTCTCTCTCTCGCTCTCACCCGCTCTCTCTCGCTCTCTCTCGCTCTCCCTCGCTCTCTCCCGCTCTCTCTCTCTCTGCTCTCTCTCTCTCTCTCTCGCTCTCTCCCGCTCTCTCTCTCTCTCTCTCTCTTTCTCTCTCTCTCTCTCTCTCTC